GAACTCAATTCCCGAGCAGTACTGGTGTTTTTGGTATCACCCAGCTGCTTAGTGAATAATGCCAGAAGGATAACAATGAATAATGCCAGAAGAACTTCCAAAAAACTGGAATTTTTAGTTTAGAATGTTATTCTTCCTGAAAGAAAAATTTTGGCAGTGTCTGTTGTTAGGAAAAAAGGTTTCATTCTAATGTATATTTTGTAGCTTTGTTTTCAGCACCGAACGACTGATGATGTGTATTCCGGATGTACTCCTGAGTAAAAGTGTTGGTGCGCATGAAATTGGTACATTGTTGAATTCAACTTACATGCTTTTGCAGTATTTCATTGCGGATCTGGTGACCATTCGATATGATATTTTGCCGTTTTGTTTATTTTCCCTTGGTACGTTCATTTTACAGAATAGAAGTTCACCTAGACAGAAAAGACCAGAGCGAAAAAATCAGTAGGGGAAGATAAAGAGGGAGAAAAGCGGAGGAAGAGAATTAGGGTTGAAAAAAAGCCTTCTGGCAATTTCTCCCAGATGCTAAGATTGCAAAAGTGCAACGAAATTGACCAAATCTGGAGGCGTTTATTGCCTCGCAAAGTGTATAAAGTTGAAGAACTGCTGAACAATCATTCAAACGACAGAACTGCCAGCCGGTGGCAGCAGCAGTGCTTAAAGACAAATGGGCAATCGGCGGCCTGCGGGCTGCATCCGGTCCGCGGAAGGAATCGAGATGTGGTGCCTAACTAATTTAATGGAGGAGAGGGGAGGAGAAAGTAGGCGGAGGGGGGAGGAGAGGAGGGAGTTTACTCCGCCACGTCACTGCATTCTCATGAAAATAAATAAATAGCGACGCACACCGAAGCAGCCGGTGCGATCATGCTTTTTGGGTAGTTCCGTTCAGCAAGCGTTTTCCTGCTGAGGATTTTCACTGCTTTGGACTTTGTTCTGGGCAAAAATAGTTGAAATGTCGTCTGATTCCTAAGTTGCGAGATTTCTCACTACAAATTTCATGCATCGGTACATGAAAGCTGAAGTTGAAACCTTGAAAGATGAATGTCCTACCAAAATTTTAACTTCCTAATTTTATGGCTTTTGGGTGATTTT